ACGAGCTTACTTTTACCGGCATCGTGTTCCTCTTGTCAAGACGCATCGATTGAACTATAACTTGACCTTGAAAGGTCGACTTGAAAATTTGACCTCAGGTCAAGGTCATGATCTGACCTGAAAGGGTCATGCTGCATATCAGTCGATCCGTATCGTCGAGCTGAACACATCTAATGCGTTTTCATCGCTCTAGCATGCCTCTATAAAAAGTTATTTGCGAAAAACTGTTAGATACCATTCGTGACCTAAGATGGCCTCAGGGCATAAACAGGGGTCACGGACACCATTTTCATGTTCAGTGTGTCTAAACCACTTGTAATTCAGTGTTTGGGAGTGTTTATAATGTCTTTCGTCCAAAAGAGGCGCATTTCAATTTTCTCCCATTGACTTATAATGGGGAGGTCGCAAAATTGACCTGACCTTAGGTCATCGATATCAAAATTCTGAGATCAACATTTTGTACGTGCTATTGCTCTTAGCAATCGCTGAAAGTTTCAAAGCGATCGATCACTCGGTATAGCTATGACAGACATTGAAACTTTTTATTAGGTTAGGTCACTTCAAGTGACCTGGTGACCTGACCTTGAATGACCTTGGTCTGAAATTTTCACAACATGTGTAGAATTGATGTATGATAAGGTGTACCAAAAACGGCGGCGCTATTCGCGAAAAACCCCAGCAGGGCGCGGGTTATACACCACCGTGCAGTCACATGGCTACGACCCGACTCCCCTCCGTGCCGTCCGACGCGCCGGCATGGCCCCAGAACTGGGACAAACGGCCGCCGGGGACGCTCGTAGTCGTATCCCAGACGTGGGTCTCCGTCCACCCCGGAGAGGACAGGGCAGTCGGCGGCCGGCCGATGCTGCCCGCGGCGCTGATGCGACAGCCTCCCACACTCAATGCTCCCACTACGCTTTCAACAGTTGATAAGGGTAACAGTGTGTATGAGATGTATTTTTCGGAAGCTTGATATCGGTGACTTGATCGTGTTCGGTTGGCATATCTTGATCTCGCAATCCCCTAACCTTGAACAACGCCGGTTTTCAAATGTTGGGTTTTGCCGCAGCGTGGATTCGGCGTGGATTGAGGAAATTTATCAGTTTTCATTCTAAATTGGGTGGCGTTACCACACTGTAAAAAAATCTTACAAGCCCCTTGTAGGATAACCGCTGGCGCAAAAATGAGCATGCAGCGACGTGTAAAAATCGCCTCATATTTAGCTAGTAAGAGGGTACAAGCTTGTTTCGTTAGTAACTGACAAGCCCACGCCTCATAAACCGAGCACCCCCGTGTCAGCCCCTCGTTTCGTTATTCGGTACCTCGTTTGAAAACGAGGGCAAAACCAGCAGATCGGTACGCCGATCAGGCTCCTTAGCAGGACTCGCCTGGTAACCCAACCAGCTAGCGCCTGCTATTGCTGCCCAGTAGTAATACTAGCTCAATTGCGTCACCCCCCCCCCTTCTCCCCAGCCGCCCCTCCGACAGCCACGACAGCGTGCCAGCCACGTTACAAAAAAAAACATAACCAAAAATAACGTTTATTACTTATTAGCATACGATACAAAATATCTAAAATATACATATTACAATATCATAGTGGAGTGGTGCAAAAGCTGATTCGAGTAACCACCAATAACATTCACAAAATAATACGGTTGCATGAGACACGATCGGGCACTTCCACGGGCTCTGACGCAACGGCACTTACAACAGGCGAGTGAGCAAGTTGATCCTGCCATGTCAGGTACATTGTGCACTGTGCAGTCCATCAAATATTTGCCATACTTCGCAGATTCAAGCAAGTATTTTTTTTCTGGGCGAGGCTTACCAACAGAAATATCGCTGGCTTCCGGTATACCTTCATGCCTCAGTCTCCCACAACTTTAAGCAGCTCTGCAAACAGAAAAGAAAATTAACTGCTGATTTTAAAATATCAGTGAGGATGGCTTTATTATCTACATCAACTGACTTTTGTATAAGATAAATCAATGTGAGGCAATATGTGTAGCTTACACATTTGGAAAAAATGCTAGACAGCAACTGAAAGAAAGTCCGTCTTCCAATAGTCGGAATTCAAACGAAACAGTGGCCCACAACGGTCAGGGGTGAATTCTATGACGCAACATGTGTTCAGAATATTACAAAATAAATAAAATGTCGCCCATTGCTACGTGAATATCATACAATATAACGTACCTTCGAAATATCCCAGTCCGAGAACTTCACAACGCACCGTGCCACAACACAACCGCACCAACCGCCGGCAGCCGCAGAACTGAACAATGGCGGCCGGAAATGACGGCCCCGCGCCGGAAGTGAAGGACGCGTTTTAGAAGCAGTCTCAGACTCGTCGCTGCTCACCGTAGCAGGAATTTATGAGGCACTACCGAATCAAAGTCGTTTCGCCTCATTCGGCAACACGAAAACCCTACCAGGACTAGTCCGATGATGAGTTTCCGACTAGGTGGCGTGTGCGCAGGATTATATTTAAAGCACGTGCAGGGCGGTGCCTCATTAGCCGACATAATAATGATATGACACGATAATGAAACACGCATGTAACTAGCATGCAACAAGCTTCTGGCGGATTTACTTATGAGACTATGCGTAGTTTTCCGACACAGCGCGAAATCTGTTGATAAGCAGGAAGGGGTGTTAGGGAAGCATTTAAGTTATTAGGTTACCGTTTGTAACCAATTGTTTCACGAGGCCACTCTTTAACTAACAACTCTCAGGCTGATAATGTCCCTATATATAACAGCAAGGTACAATGGACGACCGTGTAACCCACTCCTTGTCATAGAATTGGCTCGTGACATTTTTTTACAGTGCAATATGAATTTAATATTTGATCCGAGTCTTATCGCAACAGCTCTTCGTTCGTAAGTATTTGTGGCGAACTGGTAAGTAATGTGTGCGCACAGATTGCCTCAATTTGATTCTCCGGACTCGGTTCAATTTCAAATGATATATTGACTGCCCTTTTTGTAAAATTTTGTAAGACACCTCACACAATTCGCTTGTTTGCCCTGCTAGACCCACGTGTGAGGTTCAAGTGTGAATTCACTGCACAATAAGAATGGGTGGTTGTACTATTGTTGGGCAGAATTCAGTTCAGGTCGGATATAATTGCAGGATAGATTCGGTCATGGAGTCTTTCGAATCACACCGGTCAATGATTCAAGGCGCCACTTGCGGGTGCCATGACTGCATGAGAGTACTGAGTAGGTACAGGTCTCGCGGGTTTTAGCGGTAGGTTTTGCACCTAGAAAATTTAGTGTACTTCAGGCTATATCTTCGTCGTTTTAAGCTTTTAAGTGTTGAAGATGCGATCGACTTGTTGGGTAACAAGCCGGCCATGATCGTGTAAAATGGCTTCATCGTAGATCGATTAGTTTCTGAGATATAACCGGAAATGTAAAAGTGCAAAACCTACCGCTTAATCTCGCGAGACCTGTACCTGTCTATGAGCCCAGTGAGACTGCGGTCGTCGGGGCGGCAGGGGTGGTGTCCACCGGTTCGTTAGGTGAAAACGCGTAAGACGGTCTCTCACAGAAGGGCTGCAAGGGTCAGTAACCAACGTCCGGCCGCGGGGTTTTAGTAGGGAAACAGAGACGTGCCGCGAGCGGCAGGAGAGAAAGAACCAGTCACACCCGTCGACGAACGCTAATAACCAGTCGCTACACTGCGTCGTACCTTTAGACAAGTAATCCGGGTCAAGTGATGTAGGGTTCTAGGCTAAATGGGCCGAGAGGGGCCAAAGGAGGGTGCTAGGACGGGCACCAAGAGATCCAAGGTTACAATAGGGCGCAATAAGTCGTTGTGAGGTAAGATTGAGACAATAATTATTTTTTCCCATTACATTTAGCACGGAATCCAAAAAAAGCAAAACTTACGTTTATGGCACTTCTATGCACCGCTGGAGGGAGTAGAATTATTGCTGGGAGGGGCCGAAAGGTCAACTCGGAAGGAAATTCATTGTAGCGGGATGAGCGTTGTATGAAAGGAAGTGTGCGTCGGTGAACAGATTGATGTATGCATCGGTAGAGTAAGGACCAGCGGGAGATTTGACCCTCAGCATAAAGGTGACCTCAAACGGGGATGTAAGTGATTTTTTTTTAAATAGGAAGAAAAGGGGGAGAAACAGAGGGATTGATCAGTAATTAATCTATATTAGACGGTGGCTAAGGGCTGACCCTTACGGGAGGCATAAAAAATTGTTGATAGAGGGAGACCTCCACATCCCAAAATTCCTTACGATGCAGACACCATCCCAGGCAGGAAGACTATATGTTGACAAGCGACAAGCCAGCCTCATTATAAATATTGTTTGTGACGAGCCCCAGGTGCAAGGAACGGTGGCGGAAAGGAATCGGTCAGCTTGAAGCCAACGGACCGATCATCAATTGAAAAATGGGTGTGTAATTACGTTTGAACAAGAGAGAAATCAAACAGCAAGAAAATCAACTCGTTAATCAACCATTTGAGGATCTACCAGCCGAAAACACTCACCTGAGGTTGTTCCAGAGCACGGCGCAGGTCGGCAACCATCTCGGAAAGAAAAACACCCCCGATGGACGAAATTTTATTAAACCATATTTTTTTTTAAACATACTCCCCACCGCTTCCGGACCCCCTGGGGAGGCAAATCACAGACTTAAGGTCAGGTCAGTTTTGCGCCCTATTCATTTTAAGTCAAAGCCAATGGGAAAAATTCAAAGGCGCCTGATTTGGACGAACGTCTCCTCAAACATGCCGCTTCGAATTGCGCTTACCACGTGTCGCTACATGGCCCAGGAGCAGATTTGAAGGGGGCGGGAGTGCTCTGATACCCCCCCCCCCCCCAGGCCCGGTGCGGTTGGCGTCGAGCACCGACCTGGCGTGGGTTAAATCATTTGTATATTGAGTCATTGACCCGTTGGCAACGGGCAAAAATGTATGATGCAGGGTACGCATTGGGTGTGGAGGTAATAAAGCGACCTACATCCGTACTGCAGGTGTGGGACTTATGGGGCTTGTTCGTGCACTGTTCAACATGCTTCTGCCTGTGCGATGAAGACACGGACTCGGCTCGCTACTTCAGCCTGCTGCCCGCAACGGCCGACGTCGCCCAGAACAAGATCGTCACAGGGGTCAGGTGAGGTCACGCTGCAGGGGTCAGCTGCGATGCCGCAAGTCACCGGTATGTCAAAGAGGGTCACTTAAAACTATCTGATGATAACGACGGTGGCTCGCGCATTCTTTGGCACATGCCATTAACCCGGCAGTTGCTGGGGTATTCCGCCACCCACCGTTTGCTGGGGGGGGGGGGGCGTTAAACGCCCCCAGCCGATAACTCGAGAACCGATAGGCGCAGCGAAACGCACGAGGCGGCAAACGAAAGAACGCGACGAGACGCTTCAGATGAGTACTTTAAAATTGAATTTTGATGTCACAGGTCGGGTCAAGGTCAGGTCAAACACCTGAAATCGAGCTTTCAGTAGCATCGACTTCAGGGCTTCGCAATGGGCGCCTCTCGTCATAAACTCTGTCAAAACGGTGCACAATCCATCATATAAGGCCTACAAGAGTGTCAGCTCAATGTAGGAGTCAGTCAAGCATAGGTCAGGGTCAAGGTCAGGTCAACCGGGTAAGCACATATCCCCGAAAATCGAGACTGATATTCGCAGCCTGTGACACATGTTTTATGGGTAATTTGGGGCGTAGAACACGATGGTGACATTCATTTTATCATATTTGTACGTGTTTGGCTCAAAAAGTTCAATTTAAGAAATGCATGTATCATGGTCGTGAAGTAGTCACGAGAAATTGCCAAGATTCAGTTCAGGATTTTGGAAAATGCGGAACAATAATCAATGATCGAAGATAGCCATTTGATTGTTCATGGTATTGGGAGTCTAATGGCGTTTACGGCATGTCTGTATGTCTATTCTGTGATTTTATATGATTTTTTGAACATATGCCGTTTTTGGTCGAAAACTCAGAAATCATGACGTCACTAAAACCTCAATATCTCAAAAAATTTCCGACCGATTTTTTTGAAACTTTGTCACAATAAACTTCAACCAATTCCCTACAGGTACCCAAAACTTGGCGCGCCTGCGGCGCGCCGTTTTTATGCTATGGCCCGACGAAAAAAGTGGGGGCGTTTAACGCCCCCCCCCCCAGGCAACAGCTATTTAACCGTTAACGTATTCCACCATAGGTAACACACAAATTAACATATCAACTAATAGCAGCGTATTCGAGCAAGCATGACAGACATACAGACAGAGACATACAGACAGACAACAGACAGAGATTGATCGGCTTTTTAAAAATACCGGAAATGGTAATTGATGGTATTTTTATATCAGCAGCTCTCTGTTCGCATGATAATAGAGTATTCATGACATTAGCGGGTTTTGCTGAAATAAGACCATAACCTCCCACACGGTGAGACCGGACACGAAAGACCCGCTTACAACGAGCGGGTCAATCTGCTTGTTTCAGGCTCGTCAAGCTGGACAACGTGTTCTACATCCAGCTGGAGCAGGCTGAGGCCGCTGCGGATGGGTACGTCAACTCGTCCACCACCCAGTGGCAGCCGATCGCGCGGCGTATCGACACCGACCGGTGAGCGCGCTACTCTCACAACAATCACCTCACCCGACTCGGCTCGACGAGATGGCGACACCTTTTCCTAGCAGTCACGGTTCAACAGACCATTGACATATTTTCCGTCCAGGGTCTTCAGATGCCGTTTGAATTTTGACAATCGGCTCAATAGTTTCGGAGATAACTAAATAAGTTGACTGTGTAGATTGTAGAGCCCCCCCCCCTGTCACCTGTATTGTGGAAAACACCCCAGTCATGCGCGGTTTAAAGTAAAGTTTTCCGAATGAGAGATGGTGAGCTTTCATTTTCATGCGAAGAATACAATTAAATTTCTTCTATTTCGTTCCTTGCGGAAGGGTCAAGCTCTAAGTGACCTCGCTGCCTCTGCTTCACTTCACCAATGCAGGCCCATGTCACTCCACTTTTGATGACATCATAAGGGGGCCTCAGGACAATAATGGCGCGGTGCGCCACAATCGATTCAAAGCTACTTGCCAACAGTTGCCATTTTTGAAAATATTATTTTGAAATAAAGTTCCAAGTAATAAAAATATTTTAATAAAGTTGTTGAATAAATCGATACCATATCTAAAAACTTACTGAAAAATGATTTATTCATAGTAAAAATATAAGCCCGATGCGTTTTTAGGTTGTTTTCCTGCAACTGCAGAGGATTTTTAAATCGTCTATATCTTTAAAACCGGCCATTTCTTAGCATATTGCTGCTCTTTTTTATCGCTAGAAAATTGGTCGGACTTTTCAATGACATCAACGGCTGAGCGATATCTGTAGAGTGTCACCAATAATCTTCAAATGAAGTTAGTCATTTTTACGTTGTAAAGGAATGAAGTACCCCTTGCGAGCATCAGGGGTGACGTCACTCAGGATCTGTCTCTGATTGGTCGGCGGGGGAGTGACTGTACCTTCTATAGATGGCCTTGCACCAATGGCTTCACCAAACTACTTCACCATGTATTTAATGAGCAATCCACAGCATGGCGTGACCATTGCTGCTCCATGGACGCCTCTCAGGCAATTAATGTCAATACCTCATGGTTTGGGTGCTACTGCACGTCCACAAGTGCTGGGACTGGTTCTATCATCGCAGCAACGGCTGGGACAATTGCACTAGACTTTGGTGCATCGTTGGGGATCGATTAGAAGGGGAGATCCCGCACCGTACTTTCACACGTGCAGGGCTCTGTCGCGCCCGCTCGTCTGTCGCGCTAAAAGGCGTCTAACCGGTGCCTTGTACCGTCCTACAGGGACGAGGAAGGTCGCGACTACGTGCGACTCTCCTACTCCCAGCGCAGTGTGCTGCTGCAGGAGTTGCGAGGACAGGAGAACCAGGTGCTCACCGGAGCGGCCTTCCACATCGTCGGCGGCCATCTGACCGTCCGCGCTCAGGTGGGATGTGCCATTGTGTCCGATGGGTCGCCGGGTGATCAGACGAGCGAGATTTGCCACTCTGACTTACTTACTTGCTTACTTTTGTTACCACCACCAATGACAGGTGAAGTCGACCCCAGTGCTGGTCATGGCCCTGTCACTGTAACCCTGTCGCTGTGACCATGTCGCTGTGACCCTGTCGCTGTGACCCTGTCGCTGTGACCCCGGCGATGTGATCCCGGCGATGTGACCCTGCTCTGACTCGCCGGCCGCGCCCCCAGGTGACAAACATCTCCGAGACGGGCGCGCTCGTGGCCTCCTCCAGCGGCTGGCTGGATGGCCACCCTCCGGCCGTCGGCGTGTCCCGGCTCAAACTGCGCTCAGGACCCGTGCCGTCCACCCACTCGGCGGCGCCCAGCTGGCCCGACAGCCGGCCCGGCATGCAGACTGTCCAATTCGAGGCCAGCAACCTGGACGCGGACGCGGCGCAATCGACGCTGCCGTTCCTGGACACTCAGCCGGTGGCGCCGCGGCCGGCCGGCTGGCTCTCGGGGCTCGGACTGTACCACAAGGGCGACACGGCCGGCGGCTACGGCGGCTACCTGGGCCTCAGCGTCCGAGGGCCGACATTCGGGTGATCGGTCCGGGAAGCGAACAACTGGGACTGTGTCACCGGCCGGCAGACTGGGTGCTAGAGACTGAGCTAGAGACTGAGCTAGAGCTTCGCGAAAAAAAAAACGAGCGTGCTGCCCGTAACGAGAGAAGCCGATGATACCCGATTTTAAGGTTCCAGCGATATTCACCCATGTTAGCCAATATTAACCGATGTTTACCGATGCTTGCTAATACTGAATGATGGCAACCGATGTTTGAGGAGAAACAATGATGTTAAAGGAAATATACCTATCATTTTTAACACATAGTTTTGAGCTCGTGTACTTACTACCTACACATTGAATATGAAAGAGTATTACCGAAGTCAGCGCCGACATCACTTCACGCGGAGAAAAAGCCATTTAGTACGGCAGCAAGGGCATAAATGACCATGATATAGGCTATGCACTGCACAATGACATGCGTTGAGCTGATCGACTTCTCCAGCCCAGTATGTAAGTGTCGTCTTCTTGAGACCCTGAACTTGAAGTTATCCCGACATGATAACGACTTGCATAAATAAATCGAGCAGTTAGGCACTCGTGAGACGTGCTGCGACGCACAGTGAGCTTTTCCTCGTCCTTATAAAGATAAGGGAAGCATACCGCCTTAACCCTCGCCCTGGCAGGGCATTTTTCATAACACGGCCTGGCAGGGGGGGGGTCGATGCGACCCCCCCCCCCGCGATTGGCTCCTATGGCACCTAGAAACACCAAATTTGGTAGGTAGGTGGGCCCCCTGGAGTTCTCGCCCCTGTGCAAATTTGGTTGCTCTAGGTCAATATTTAGGGGGGGTTTTGGGGGGTATAAATGTAAAAATTTCGCTAAAAACAGGTCAAAAGTTTTTCGCTTATAACTTTTGATCTAATTAAGATATAGCAAAAAAGCACCAGTGAACTCAGCACGTCAAGGCGCCTCGAACGATATACTTTTTAGCTTGCTTGAGTGTACTTAAAGTTTTTCTTAAATTTTAAGTAAACTTAAATTAATAAATTAAGTTCAAGCTAACTAAATTGCATCATATCGCATATCATTCGATTCGGCTGATCACCAGGAACACAATGATACCATTTTTAAGCTCTAGCGTCATTATGTGTCAAGTTATTGGCAAAAACGTCATTTGACCTCAGTTGACCTCATTTGACCTGACCCATGGATAAGTACACCAAACAAAGAAGCACCAAGTGACCTGCTGTTAAGTACTGTAGTTTCAAAGCACAAAAGTGATAGAACGAAGCGGATATCTCCAGTATTTTCCGAATTTAGTATTTTCCCATAGGCTTAACCCTCGCATGTGTAGGGGGGGTCGGATGGACCCCCCCCATGGTTTTTCGCGAATAACTCGCGTAAAAAGCGGCCGATCGCGACGAAACTTTCAGTACCCTCACATTGATCAATTTTACACCTACCCTGAAAATTTCATGACCCTGACCCAAATGACCTTTGACCTGTGACCTCTTTTCCGAGACCATATTTGGCCGGAATCGCGATTTCGCGTATGTCGGCTCGCACTAGCCGCGTGTTTGCAAGCTTTTCGTGGTTTCAAACGTTCAAACATGTGATTTGATGTTACTCCCGTGTGTGTCAAGGTCACCTGAAGGTCAGGTCAGGTCATTGACCTTTGGTGACCTCGGGTGACCTCGGGTCACTTTTTCGAGTTTTACATGTTTCTAGGCTAGTTTTTGGAGCTGAATTCGAATTTAGCAACCATTTGAACATTTACGAAGTAGTTTTGGTAACTTCGTAACATGTTACGAAGCTGTCAGAGGCGGTTGACACGTACTACGAATACCCGTCACGACGCCTACTGGTTGACCTGACCTGACCTGACCCGACCTGGTCTAAATGCTTCAAGACATCATCTGTGATCAAAACTAACACGATATTCGTGATCAGCACCCCGAAAAACCCCTTAGCAGCCACACTTTACGACTTTCTAACAGGTCCCGATTTTCCCGACTTTGGGTCATTGACCTGACCTGGAAGGTCAACCAATGACCTAGGACCTTAAACTTGGGTATCATCGGCTTCCTCTCGTCACGGGCAACACGCTCGTTTTTTCCGCGAAGCTCTAGCTCGATCAGGGGCCAAACGGCAAGGGGGGGGGTCCAACCGACCCCCCCCCCCTACACATTAGAAGCTGGCAAACGCCGCACACATGCGAGGGTTAACATTACGACGTAATGACCTCTAACTGACCTCAGGTCAGTGACCTCAAAAAACCCGAACTATATGTTGTAAAACTCGGTGAACTTAGCACATCCTGAAAGTTTGAAGGAAATCAGTCCAAAACTGTGAGTTGGACAGGTGCAAAAAGAAAATTGAAATTTGACCATGACCTTGTACCGGTTTTTCTGACCTGGTGACCTGACCCAAGGTCACCCGGACCTGAAATTTTCAGGTCGTATGTAAAAAGGTTGCCCCATAGGCTGTGCCAAATTTGGCGGCGCTGCGCGCCGCCGTTTTTACGTTATCTTTGAAAAACCTTAGGGGGGTCGCATCGACCCCCCCCCCTGCCAGGGCGAGGGTTAAACACCGCGTCGTCATCGAATTTGTACTACACCCTGTCGCCTTTGGGATTGATGAAAACGACATATAGTTGCCGCCGTGGCTGTCCCCCAGTGTACCAACACAGCGACCGAGTGTAATCGGCCAGTGTGTTCTCCGGCGTCCGAAGAAATGGGTTCAGTCGCAGCACGTGTGGAAACAACGTTCAGTTGTTATCTCCAGTTGTTATTCAGTTATATCTCCAGAACCGCTGCGCCGATCGTCACCAAACTTTCAGTACCCTCCCGTGAACAGCTATTGCACATTGTGACTAAAAATTTTCCAAAGGCTATGATAGGTTGGCCACTAATGACGTCAGAGTGACGTCATTTCTGCCATTTTCGACCAAAAAAAAGAAAGGTTTCGCGGGAAGAGCTGTCAGGCCTACAGCTTCAGAAGTACAGAAAAAATTTTTATAGACATAAAAGATGTACAATTGAAAGGCTACAAAACTGCTATCTCCGATTTTTGAAGTCTTTGGATTTTCACCCCGAAATATCAAAAATAGATTTTTTGAATATAATAACCGAATAATCCAAAAAGTTTTCTGAATTTCGAAAAAAACATGAATATATGTGATAGTCCCTACTTTCTTCTATCTACAAACCAAATTTGAGATCGATACCTCTTTTTTGGCCAAGTTATAGTGAAAAAAAGCTGTTTAAATTGATGACGTCAAATTTTCAAACTCAATTTATAGCAATTCTAGACCTCGTAGCGCAAAACAAAGAACACCATTAGACTCCCCGTGACGGGCTGCATCGAATCAATACCCATTTTATGCAAAACTATCAACTTTGAAATTTGACCTTTTTGACTTGACCTTGACCTGACCTCCACCAGAAAGTGACCTAAATTGCACCTGATGGTCTCATAACCAACACCATTGAGTTAGTTGGAAATGAAAAATTGGCCATAAAACATGCATCACACAACCTTAGTAAAGTTTGGTTCATGTGGTGACCCTTGGTGACCCTTGTTGACCTGACCTGTGACCTGACCTGGTATGACCAGTGACCTCTAATAGCAACATATGTACTAGAGAACTGACGCCCTATGGCTGATTTTCGACAAAATGCGTTTTCCTTGGTGTTATAGCGCTTTCTCTAGAAGACCAGTGAACGATGAAACATTTTATATTTGACCTGACCTGTGACGTCATCGGTGACCCCGAGGTCAATGAAATTTGGTTTCCTTCAACAAATTTGACAGGGCTATCGAACATCGTTTGAATTTTCCGGATCCGTCCAGTAGTTTTGGAGATACGGGGGGGGGCAAAAAATGCCCCCCCCCACCGCGCGGAAGGTGGCCTGGAGGTCCACTGCCTGCCGGGTTAAAAATAAAGCGGATCACGGATGCTGGTCTATTAAGCGATAAGGAATGTAGCACTGTGATGTGTCTTCTTGGAATGTGCATTTTGAATTTTGTGAAAATCATGGGTAAGTGCGAGCTGCAAATGTTATCGAGGTTGTTGTATTAAATGTCTTATGATTTGCAGCTTTGCTTTTATCTGTGTTTCTTTCTATCAGTTCTTGTCGTGATGCCCACTTGTTTGTCAGGTGAAACGAAATACTAATGAATGAATAAATAAATAAATAAATAAAAAGATAAATAAATAAATAAATGGATAAATAATTAAATAAATAGATAAATAGATAAATAAATAAGCTCAAATCGAGCATTGAGCTTAACGATGCTGCCCTTTATCGGGTTCTTAAAACCGCAACCGATGGAGGGAACACGGGCGGATATATCTGGAAGGTTGCACCCTTCGTGGCCACCTGAAGGCCGTGCTCGATAGCAGAATACATACCTATTCACGCCATTCAGGGTCTGCGGCTTCACGTACTCCGTTAAAGTTTCGTAAATGTTCCTGTCGGGGTGCTGCCGCGCTGCCACCGCGCTGAGATGTGTACCGAGGGTGTGCCCTTCCCGCCGGGCATCGGCAGGTATATACCTACCGACCATCAGACGAGATGGCTTAATTGGCGACCTCAGCGCCCAGTGAATACAGGCCAGCAGGACGGCCGGTGCGGCACCTGTCACAGGCGGCCGTAATCTCACGCAATTTATCTGTCACGGAGCCGGCGCCGGCGCTGCTTCTTGTGACGCAACGATGGCTATTTCGTTAGCCATTCGAGGCTATCCTAAATCCACCGACTAACTAAATAAGTGCCCGTATGGATGCCATCTCAAATAGCTGTAGGCAGCGGCTGCGAAAACAAATTAATTTGTTTTTGTAGGAAGAACCGCAGGTGCAGCCGCCTCTTCTTAAGTTTATATCCGCGGGGAATTTAGACTAATGGCCGTACAGGTGTTTCTCTGTCGCTGCTAATTGGCTCTACGTGCCCCAGCACGATCCTCGACTCCACTGACGCGGCTTATGCGGGCTGAAGTATCCACTTTAGGCCTGAGTGGGCGACCATGGACTGGGCCGCCGAGATTCCTCGGTCACAGGCCGGCCCAGATTAGGGTTTACCTGACCAAGAACAAACGAGGCGGATGCACAATGGCTGCGGGAATTGACGAGCGACTTCCAGTGGTTTCACACAAAGCACCGACCGCCCGGGTACCGCAACAGAGTGGCGTCCGAAACCCTTCTCTGCGCAGTCCCAGCGCGCCGGCCCCACCCGGCCTGGAATGCGTGCCCATTCATTCTCGGGGCTGACCCCTGCTTCTTTCTGCCTCATCTGAAATTCTAAGCGAGTACAAGTGG